ATGGCCAGATCTACATTGTTCGTGTCAAGGGTGCCTGTGGGGGGCTGGGCAGGAGTGGGACAGATCCGAGGGTCTCTGGCAGAAAGGGGTGGGACTAGGGCAAGTGCCAAGGCATGGTCCACTGGAGGAGCCTCACTGTTCCTCTCAGGCCATGCGGGGGTGAGGGTGGGCTTATGGAGCTAAGACTGAATGTGTTTCAGCATAGATGGCCACCACAAAATTGTACATTGGCTCCCAGCTGGCCTGGGCCAGGGCCAAGGCAGCGGGGGCCGTTCCCTCACTGTTTCCAGGATGGCTTCGCGGGCCACATGAAACCATTTTGCGGGCCGCATCCAGCCCCCGGGCCTTGTGTTTGACATGTCTGCTTTAGGACATCAGGTCAGATAAGCCCAACACTGATCGCTGGAAAACGTTGATTCCTGGGAATCAAAAATAAGCCATTCAAATGTCAAAGAAGCCCTGCTCACAGTCATCCACACTCATAGCCACCTCCTGTCTTAACTACTGCAATGTGTTCTACATGGGGCTGCCCTTGAAAAGTAGCCCAAAGCATCAATTGGTTCAAAACGCAGCAGCTTGCCTGGTTTTGTGTAAGTGTTAATTTGCGGAGGTGTCAACTCTTAGTGGGAGCTGCATTCGTTGCTGATTTGCTTCAGGGTCCCTACATAACTGGGGGCCAGGTTATTAGAAGGACTGTCCTGGGGCCGAGTTATTTGAAGGACTGTCTTTTCCTAGTTACAACCCACCAGAGTGAGGAGGCAGGAAATGTTATGGGTCCCCTCTCTTAAAGAAGTTCATCTAGTGAGACCAAGAAGAAGGGCCTTCTCTGTGCTGGCTCCCTCCATGTGAAACATCATCCCCTGCATAGATAAGATTGCCCCCTCCCCAACTTGACACTCTTTCAAAAGACTTTGAAGACATGGTTTCATCAATGGGCCTGGACACCGCAGAGTGGTATGAAGTTCATCAAGTGATTGGTTTGATTGTTGTCACCTGGGGGGAAGGGTGTTATTGTGTTTGTAGTGGTCTTTTTATTTCTGTAAACAGCTTGGGGTCACCATGGGTGAGTTGGGTGGCCATATAAATTTTCTAATGAATAATAAATAAATGGCTGTAGAGACAGTGGTGGGATCCAGTCAGTTTGCATCGCTTCAGTGGAATGGACTTCCGGAAGTGGCATCCATACAGAGAACCGGTTGTTCACATATTTGAATCCCACCACTGTGTAGAGACTTGGGAAAACATATTTATCCATTGTCCCAAAGGTGGTTTTCGACTATCTTGTTTTTTTTCATTGAAAACTTTTTGTTTCTCATCCAAGAAGTTTATTCAGTTCTTATTTAGCAATAGTAGTAGCACTTATAGACTTATATAAGTAGACTTATATGCCTCCTCACTGTGCTTTACAGCCCTCTCTAAGTGGTTTACAGAGTCAGCATATTTGCCCCCAATAATCTGGGTCCTGATTTTAACAGCCTTGGAAGGATGGAAAGCTGAGTCAACCTTGAGCTGGTGAGAATTGAACTGCCAAACTGCTGGCAACTGAAAGTCAGCAGTATTAGCCTGCAGCGCTGCATTCTAACCACTGCGCCACCACGGCTCTTTATCCATTTATTTATCCACTCTTTGCTTCCAAATCTTTTTCCTTAATACAAATTGTGAGTCAACTGTCAATCCAAGATTCCTCCCTACTTAATAAACACATGCAGTATGGATATCTATTCAATTTTAATGGCTTTGCGTGTTTCCATGGCTTGGATAATTGTAAATAAGATCTGCTTGACTTTCCTGCTTAAAGCAAACGATTGTCTAGTGAAACTTCGTGGTTCATCTCAATTTAAGTCAGGAAACCAGACCGTCCCAAAACTTTATAAAAACAATCTGTTTTTTCTCTGCTTCCCCATCTGGCAAGGGAATAGACTTCCTGTTGCAATGAATGCTAGAGACATCTGATCTTTGCAAGTTCTTCCTTTTATGCATATGAAAAAAAATTACATTTAAAATTCTTCATTGCCTCTTTCCATCAAGCTGGAACCAATTACCTCATTTTCCATAGCAAACTCACTCTGAATAGTGTGAATTCGAAGGATGCAATCATTTTGGGGGGCTCCATTCCCCATATTAATCAAGACCTACTTATACCTCACCTCAAGAAAATTTTCCCCTTTTCTTATCAACAGGTAAAAAGGCACAGAAGATGCAAGCTTGCAGGAGTTTGCACATGCATAAAAACGGAAGTCCTCAACTTATGACTGGTCACTTAGCAACCATTCAAAGTTACAATGGACCCGCTCAAAGGTATTTATGACCCAGTGCCAAAGTTCTGACAGCTGGGCCTGTTCTGCAGTCATGTGAACAATATCATCCACTTGGAAACCAGTCTGCATTTATGGCCATTCCCTGCATCCCAGGGTCATGTGACTGCAATTTATGACACTTGTCTTTACTTCTTGATTCTGGCAAATGGATTTGCTTAACGACCATCCTGTTTACTTAATGACTTCCGCACAAAAGGTCATAAAATCATGTTGGTCGCACATGGGTGACCTTTTTATGACTGTCGAAACTTATGACCGTAATGGGAAGGCTCCATTACGGTTATGAGGCAAGAACTATCTGTATATCTTTTGTGCTGTTCATAAATGTTTCCCATCATCCTGGAATCTAGCTTTGGTTCATGGGCCAACCTAGATGCAAAGTTGTAAAAGTAAAACTTGAATCATGGTTTATCTTGATCATCAGCCTGCAACTGACATTAAGGGCCTGGCCAATTAGGGTATTTTTAAAAGCCAAGAGTGGTCCTCAGCGATGTCCATAGGTTAAAAAAGTCAAGATGGCGGCCCAATTATGTGATCAAAGGCTCCTCCTTTTTACTTGCATATTAAAAGGGGTGGGGTTTAGATTGAATATTTACGGCTGCCATTTTGACTTTTTTATCCCCTTCTCTGCTGGATGCTGTGTGCTCATTCTGCTTCTAAATTATCCAGAACTTTGAGCCATTTTCCTGCTAAAGAAATCACAGGCGAGGTTCCAACTGTTTGTTTAATTTATCATTTTCCCAGCCATCTTTTTTCTTCCCGAGCCCCTTCTGGAATAATGCTTATCAGCAAAGCGGGGGCGGGGGGAATGATAAACCCTGAGAAAAATCTCAAGATTAAGGAATGTTGCATTTTTCACGAGGTTGTCATTTCTGAATTGCATTAAATGATACTTTTTCTTTCCCCCATTTCTAATTATCAGATACGGTGTTGGGGAATGGAATTCTGCAGGCCGTTTGATTCCACGCCACCCAGCATATTTATATCCTTCTGCATAATTATCAATTTAGGGAACTACTTCATTGCTCCTTCTGGAAATGACACTTTGAATTATGAGTTAGGTGGAAATCTGGGCGAAAAAGTCTGGTGGAGTTCAGTTGCAGTGTTTTATTAAATATGCATCATGGAGGGTCAGTAGAGACACTGCGAGGGAGGAAGGAAGGAATCAGCTCTTTTCCACAATTACAGGGAGGTTGTCCTCAGCTTACAACAGTTCATTTAGTGACCGTTCGAAGTCACAGCAGCACTGAACAAAGTGACTTTTGACCATTTTTCACACTGTTATGACCATTGCAATATCCCCATGGTCATGTGATTGACATTCAGATGCTTGGCAATTGACTCATATTTACAATGGTTGCAGTGTCCCAGAGTCATGTGATCCCTTTTTTGTGATCTTCTGACAGGCGAAATCAATGAGGAAACTAAATTCACTTAACAACTGTGTTCCTAATCTAAGAACTACAGCGATTCACTTAATATGGTGAGAAAAGTCGTAAAATGGGACAAAACTCACTTAACAAATTTCACACTTAGCAACATAAGTGTGATGACTCAGGGCACAGCATAGAGGCAAGGCAATCAGCTAGCAATTCAAACCGCCCTTTAATTGCTCCAAATTTTCCCCAAATGCTCCCACTTTTCTGGCAAGCCTCCAAACAAAGGAAGACACACACACCTTCAGCCACCTCTGGCTGCAAGTAGTTTCACATACAGTCTGATTAGGAGAGGAATTTACTCAAGGCCACGGAGATAATAAGGAATGACACATACATCATAAACCTAATGCATCTGTGTTTGCCTGAGCAGTTTCAAAAGGAAGCCAAAATACAGTCTGAGATCTTTGAATATCCAAGCAACATTGTCAGCCAGTCCAATAGTCAGAGATTCCAGGTTTCCAAGCAGAAGTCACAGAACAAGAGATCAGCAACACACACAAAACTCCAAGGAATCAGCGTTTGTTCCTGACAAATGCATCTCCCCCCAGCATTTCCTTAAATCTCAGTGTCTAGGTGTCCCTTGTGCAGAGGGGCAGGATGCTCTCCTCCCAAGTAGTTGAGACTGCCTGTGTTGTTCCCTCCTTCTCTCCACTCTCTGTGCTCTAGGATCAGGTGAGGATGCCCCTTGTGAAAGTGTGGGAGAGGAGGCATACTTTCAGAATTGGAAGTTGGACGTTAGCCTTGTGGGGTAGTCCATATAAGAAGCATCACAGGATACTAATGCTATCTTTAATGTAAAGTGACCTACACAGAATCTTATAATTCTATTACAATACAAGTCTGTGTTTTTAAATTAAATCATAAATTCTATATACTATTCAACTAGAAAAACATTTTGGTTTTTAAAATATATGGTGATTCGTATTTTACAATGTGTTATGTTTTAGATTAAAATAAGAGAGGAATATGATATGATTATTGATCTTTTAGAATGTTTGTTATTAGTATTTTAACACAGTTTAAGTAGAGACTAGTCATTTAAATTAGAGACAGGTTGTTGCACTGCACTAAAAAGGTTGGAGGTCCCTTTTGTTATATATTTGTTTGATATATTTTTTTCCTGCTCAGTGTTTAGCCTATCCTGTTATTCCTCTTCCTTTTTTCCCCTTTATGTTTGGCTTGAATTTTAACATTTGATTTTAAAACAATAAAGATAGGTGTAAATAAATGAATAAACACTATGTACTAGTAAGCGTGCTCTCTGTTTATACAATCTTAGGTAATCAAAGCAAGAACAATACACAGGAGGAAAATGTACTGTATCATCAGGTTCAAAGGAGCCTTCAGCAACAGAAAATAAAACTTTAAACACTTTAAGGAACTGAGTCGCTGGACTGCAAAAATAAATTGAGGAATGCTGAGTAACTCAGAGACTGTGGGTTCTGGCCCAAGTAGTACGGGCAAAGCAGAGTTAAGTAGGGTCTGTTTATTGCTCACTTATCACAGTGACAAACAACCCACAATGATGCCAGTGAAGCTCCGCCCCAGCCCTCAGTTTCCCCTCAGTCTGGATTCACAAACTTAATCCTAGGCAAGTTATGAGGCAAAGAAGGAAGTAACAATATCAACAAGTCCAAAATTCTAGCAACCAAAACACAGTCCAAGACTATGAAGTCCAAGAGCCAAGTCCAAGTACACAAGAGTTCGAGGACCGGAGTTGAAAAACATAGTCCAAGGTTCAAGGAACAGAATCCAGGGAAGCCGGGAAAGTGCACATCAAAATGAGCAGGTGTTCCGGACAAACACAGCTTCTCCCAGTATGTGATTAAATCACCCTTCCCCAGGTGAGGAGGAGTGGAGATGCTTCCTCGCAAACAGCCTTGTTGACCTCCTCTGTGCCTCTCTCTGCTCTGCTCTCCTCACCCGCAGATCAGATGGTGGAGGGAGCTGTTCCTCATTAGAGGTAGTCTGGAGCCTGTCATCTCTGCTGGCCTTCTGCAGGTGCTCCACTCCTTCAGGCAGCTCTCTGTCTGGTCGGGTGCCCCCATCCCCCACTGCCAGATGGCCCTGGGACTCCTTGTCCTCAGCCCTCCCCATCATTGGGAGGGGATTGTACCCTCTTCGTCAGACAGTCCCGGTTCCAACTCCTCCTCCTCCTCCGAACCAGGATCCGATGAAGCCATGATCCTGTGAAATGCAGAGGATTAATGAGGTAGACCAGAGCTGAAATAAAGAAGACGCAGAAGACAATAAACTAAATGAAACTAAAAACTAAAACAATGAACTAAATAAAAAGATAATGATTGTTTCTGGTTGAAAGCCTCAATGGGAAAGTTCTAAACCTGTACAGGTAATCCTCGACTTATGACTACAAATGAGCCCAACATTTCTGTTGCTAAGGGAGACAGGTGTTAAGTGACTTTTGCCTCCATTTTATGACTTTTCTTGCCACAGTTGTTAAGGGAATCACCCCAGTTGTTAAGTTAGTAACATAGATGTTAAGAGAATCTGGCTTCCCCATTGACTTTGCTGGTCAGTAGATTGCAAAAGGGGATCACAAAATCCCAGGACACTGCAACCATCATAAATACATGCCAGTGGCCAAGCCTGAATTTTGATCATGTGACCATGGTGAGGCTGCAATGGTTGTAAGTGTGAGAAATGGTCACAAGTCACTTTTTTCAATGCTGTTGTAACTTCGAACGGTCACTAATGGTTATTAGTTGTGGACTACCTTTAATTTTTCATTGCAGTTGACACTTAAAAAGGCAACTCTCTTGTCTAAGGTTGGCAACTTTAAAAAAGTAAGTCCCAATAACAGCCTAAATCACATTAATAATCTTTATATCAGAATAGAATAGAATAGAACTCTTTATTGAGAATAGAATAGAATAGAATAGAATAAGGAATAAAATAAGGAATAGAATAGAATAGAATAGAATAGAATAGAATAGAATAGAATAGAATAGAATAGAATAGAATAGAATATGGAATGGAATGGAATGGAGTGGAATAGAATAGAATAGAATAGAATAGAATAGAATAGAATAGAATAGAATAGAATAGAATATGGAATGGAATAGAATGGAATGGAATAGCATAGCATAGCATAGAATAGAATAGAATAGAATAGAATATGGAATGAAATGGAATGGAATGGAATGGAATAGCATAGCATAGCATAGCATAGCATAGAATAGAATAGAATAGAATAGAATAGAATAGAATAGAATATGGAATGGAATGGAATGGAATGGAATGGAGTGGAATAGAATAGAATAGAATAGAATAGAATAGAATAGAATATGGAATGGAATGGAATAGCATAGCATAGCATAGCATAGCATAGCATAGCATAGCATAGAATAGAATAGAATAGAACCTTGGAGGTCTTCTATTTAGTCCAACACTCTGCTCAGGCAGGAAACCCTATACCATTTCAGACACATGGTTGTCCAATCTTCTTAAAAACTTTCAGTGTTGAAGCATTCACAACTTTTTGAAGCAAGTCGTCCCACTGATTAATTGTTCTGACTGTCAGTAAATTTCTCCTTAATTCTAGGTTGGTTCTTTCCTTGGTTAGTTTCCATCCATTGCTTCTTGTTCTGCTTTCAGGTGCTTTGGAGACTAGTTTGACTCCCTCTTTTTTGTGGCAATCCCTGAGATATTGGAAGACTGCTATCATGTCCCCCCTAGTCCTTCTTTTCACTAGACTAGACATACCCAATTCCAGCAACCCTTCTTTATATGTTTTAGCCTGTAGATACCCATTAGTAAATATAGCACAATACTTGAGGGGCTGCCACAGAGAAGAGAGGGTTGATGTATTTTCCAAAGCACCATACAGGGCAGGCCAAAAAGCAGTGGGTGGAAGTTCATCAGAGGGAGATTCAACCTGGAAATGAGGAGGAATTTCCTGACATTGAGAATGATTAGTCAATGGAACAGCTTGCCTCCCAAAGTTATGGGTGATCCATCACGAGAGGCTTAAAAAAAAAAAAAAAAAGAATAGACTACCACAATTAATCAATGGAATAGCTTGTCTCCTGGAGTTGTGGATGCTTCATCACTGGAGGTTTTTTTTTAAAATGATTGGACAACTATTTGTCTGGAATGGCCTAAGGCAGTGGTTCTCAACCTGTGGATCGGGACCCCATTTGGGGTTGAACGACCATTTCACCGGGGTCGCCAAACAACGCAGTCCGCCATTTTTTCCCCCTTTTCCTTAGCTGTGCTACTCCCTTTTATTCTATTGGCTTTTGAAAGCCAATAGAATAGACTCTCTTGAATAGAGTCTAATTCTATTGGCTTTCAAAAGCCAATAGGAATTGTCCAGGCTGTCTCTGCCCTGCTGAGCCCGCCAAAAGTCCCATTCTGCAAACGGTGCTGCACCAGTTGAGTAGTCCTCGACTTACAACCGGTTGGGTAGTCCTCGACTCATGACCGGTTGGGGGTTGCAGCATTAAAAAGGTTGAGAACCACTGGCCTAAGGACTATTGCCTTGGGTGGCAGATTGGACTAGAAGACCTCCACAGTCTGTTCCAGCCATACAGATTCTACTTTCGTGGTTTACTCGGCCATTCTCCTTCGGTGAGCGCTGAAGTCATTTAAGCAAATCTGAAAGCAAAAGCCGAAGAAAGAAAAGTTCAAATAAATGAATGCTTAAAACAAACAGTTTCCAAACTTATTAAAATTATCTAAATGTTGAAAGTCTGGCAAGGGAGGATAATAATAACTATCCTAGTGATCAAATTACAGAGCTATTCCACTGGCGTGACTTAAGTGCTGAAAAAGCTGAGTAGGACAAAACAAGAGAATTGTGGGTTTTTATTGTACTAAAAGTACATAAAGTTTATGGAGGAAGCTGGCATGTTGTGGGGGATTCTTAATCACAAGAAGCTTGGAACTAAATCCTCTTTCTTCCTATTGCCGAGCTCCCAATAACCGAGTAAAGCCTTCTTTAAGTTAAGCTTAACTCCTGCCAAATCCACGCTATCTTTTCAGCCACAGTACAGTTTGCTGCATCATTTTCTGGAGATCCTTTCTTTCTCTTTTACTGCTAGTCCTCGGCTTATGACTGCTGCAAGGGAGCCAGGAATTTCCATCATAAATCACATGCGAGAGACTGGATTTTACCTTTTTTTATGGCAGTTGTGCTGGACCAGTAAAACTCTGGCCAGAGCATATATTAGATTAAGAACTGTGTTAGATCATTTAGCATTTAAAGGGTTAACGCTGTCTCCTTAAGAAATGGCCTCTGGGAAATGTAGTCCAGCTGTTAGTCAGAACTACATCTTATCTAGTCAGTGGCAGGGGCTTCAAAATTTATCACAAGATGTCCGGGCTATGTGCCAGTGTATGTAAAAGCCATTGTGTAAGACAGACACGCGGTTCCTGTGCTCCATAAGAATATGGGGTGAATCTACCTTTAATATCTTACACCACAAGAATGGAGAGATTATGCCTCAGAAGAACTCTTCTTGACTGTAAGTTAGAGATTCCTGAAGAATAAATAATCTGAATATTAATCTGTCTTTGGAGTTTATCTGTCTGCGACAAGCAGGATTAAAGCAGATCTTTTGTTTGGACCAGAACATCAGTCCTTAAGTGAATGCCACAATCATTAAAGCCAATGGCATGGCCATTAAGCAAGTCAATGCAATCCTATGGGGAAATTTTCTGGCAAAAAAGAGTGGTAAATTGCACCCCGGGACCATAGAATGCTGCAATTGGCTATAAAGGAGGAGGGGGTACCACCATTAGAACTCCGGTGTTGACCCAGACTTAGGGGACAGTAATCGATTGTGAATATGTGCAGATGGCCCAGCTCTCTCTGGCCGCTTGTAGAACCATGAATGCAAGGTCATGAAAGGACAGCAAAGGAAACACCCAATATCCTAACCCACCCAGAAACACACGGTGTCTTAGGGCAGGGCTTTTCAACCCGTGGTACGGGTACCACCTGTGGTACATTGGCACCTGGCAGGTGGTACGCGACCATCCTAGAAAAGTGGTAGCGGGGGAGGGGAATGAGCTGAACCGGTGGCAGCACTGCACAAGCCTGAGCGAGAGATGGCTGGAGCTGCAAGGCTGTCAGGGCTCAGCGGAAGCACCAGGATCAGTGCCACTTTCCAGCTGATCGGCATTTCTTCGGGGATGTCAGGGCTCAATGGAAGCACCAGGATCAGCGCCAGGTTCCAGCTGGAGCTCGGTGCTGATCCTGGTGCTTCTGCTGAGCCCTGAAGAAGCACCAATCAGCTGGAAAGCAGCACTGATCCTAGTGCTTCTGCTGAGCCCAGAAGAAGTGCCGATCAGCTGGAATGTTGCAGCATCTCCAGGGTCTTGTGATTTACATTCAGATGCTTGGCAACTGATTCATATTTATGACCGTCACAGTGTCCCAGGGTCATGTGAAGTGACCAAAGCCTGCTGCAACCACCCAGAAGACGGGGGGGAATAAAAACCAAATACCCCCCCCCCATCCCACCCCTGATGCCAATCTTCAACAGAAATGCTCACAACAATGAAAACCTTGCACAGGAGGAAGAACACGATTGGGCAGGCAGGTGTCTTGCTGGGCTGTGGCTTGGGGGGCACTTTTTTCAATGTCATTGTAACTTCAAACAGTCACTAAGCGAACTGTTGAAAGTTGAGGACTACCTGTTACTTTATCACTTTTTTCCTTTTGGGGGGGGGTTGACAACTTGCTAGGCGACTGGTGGTACTCGGATGTTGCCATATCCTAAAAGTGGTATAATGGGTGAAAAGGTTGAAAAGCCCTATCTTAGGGAAACACCTAAATCACCCAAAAGGGAACATATGGTGTCTTGGGGGAACACCCAAAAGGGCACATTTTTAGCTACTTCTGCTTTCTTCCTTCTTATCTACAGTGTGCCAGCCTTAAAGGGCCAAGTCTCTATCTTATGTGTGTCAGCTTTGCTGGGTGAATTGTTTATGTAATCAAAGTAGGTATGAAACTAAGGCTTTTCTGATATTTGGGCCTTTTTCTCTTTTTAGAGAATCCCGTCTTTGTTCAGCTGAATAAACATGTAACGCTTGAAGGCAACTTCTGGTTTCCTGTTTTTTTTTGTATCAATCGAAACCTCAGAACCTGCATATCACCAGAACTGAGTAGCTCTTGGGGGGTACTTAATAGGGTTTAAATCAACTAATGGTTAAGTCAGGATTCCCAGGCTAGTCAACTGTTCTAAGATTTCTTGGTGATTTCCATTTAAATACTGTCTAGAGCAGCGGTGTCAAACTTGCGACGTCACGTGATGTGTCGCGATATAGCATGACTTTTTTTCCATTGCCGGCAATGGGGTGGGCGGGTTTCGGCATGACGCATCCGGCCTGCGGGCCGGCAGTTTGACACCCCTGATCTAGGGTGACCTAGAACGTAGTATTCATTGCTTCTGGAGGCAGGTTGTTCCACTGGTTAATTGTTCTAAAATGTCAGGAAGTTTCTCCTTAGTTCTAGGTTGCTTCTTTCCTTGATTAGTTTCCATCCGTTGCTTCTTATCCTGCCTTCACATGCTTTGGAGAATAGCGTGACTCCCTCTTCTTTGTGGCAGCCCCTGAGATATTGGAACACTGCTGTCATGGCATCCTTCATCCTTCTCTTCATTAGACTAGACATATCCAATTGCAGCAACCGTTCCTTATATGTTTTAGCCTCCAATCCTCTAATCATCTTTGTTGCTCTTCTCTGCACTCTTTCTACAGCACAGTGTCTTCTCCTTCCTAGGCTGAGATACCTTGACTTTGGCAGAGGCTTCCCCCAGTGTTTCCCACCCCACTTCCTTCTGTTTGCAATGCCACCACTGACCTTGGCAAAGGTGTTTCTTGCAGACTAACGACCAATTGGAATTAATGGCTGGATGCTGTTTCTGATGCCATCAGTGTTTCTCAGCTGGCCAGTAATCCTATTATTGCTTAATGGATCTGATTCATCAACCCTTTGAAGTTTGACTCACTGCTGCATGAGAGGAGACTCAAAGGTTATTACTATTCCAGGACAGGCTCATTTACTTAACTAATCAACCCACTTCTGATCCTTTTAGGAGAAGGATTTAGAAAGCAGGACTAAAGGATTTCTGGAATTTTGTTTTTTACCCTGTACAAACAGAGCAGAAAGTCAATCAATTTGTCCACACTGTCCTTTCTCCCAAACCATAAATGTTTTCAGTCTACATAATGTGTTCCAAGTGTACTTTAGGAAGCAAAGCATAAAGAAACAGGAGAAGGAAAGAGAAATAACATCACATTAGTAGGAAGGGGCACCACAGGTGATATCATCTAGTCCAGTGGTTCTCAATCTGTGGGTCGGGACCCCATTTGGGGTCGAACGACCATTTCACGGGGGTTGCCAAACAACGCAGTCTGCCATTTTTTCCCCCTTTTCCTTAGCTGTGCTGCTCCCTTTTATTCTATTGGCTTTTGAAAGCCAATAGAATAGACTCTCTTGAATAGAGTCTAATTCTATTGGCTTTCAAAAGCTAATAGGAATTGTCCAGGCTGTCTCTGCCCTGCTGAGCCCGCCAAAAGTCCCATTCTGCAAATGGTGCTGCACCAGTTGAGTAGTCCTCGACTTACGACCGGCTGAGTAGTCCTCGACTTACGACCGGTTGGGGGTCGCGGCATTAAAAAGGTTGAGAACCACTTTTCTCGAGAAAAGCTAAGCAAGGTTAGAAATATGAAGGGAAGGTACAATATGTAGCTCTGTGTTGAACTGTGAGGTTCTTAGTGCTCTCTGAGTTTGGTTGTCTGCTTGCAGATGTTTCCTTACCCAACTAGGTAACAGCATCAGGGCCAGTGAGTGTGTGGTTTGTTTCTTGTTTCTTGCCAGTATTGATGGGAATATGGTTTTTCTCTTGCTAGTTCCTTGACTGAAAGTTAGAAATGCTTATGATGGAGGACTGCCAAATAATCTTACAGAAATGTATGGGCAAACCACGTTCCATATTAATATGGATCTATTCTTGTGGTTCCTCTGAGCCAAGCTTAATTCAAGAGAGATTTCAACACTAAATCCCAACTTGGCTGACTTTCCCAAGGCCCATGGCATAAATGATGACAGAACAATTAATCAGTGGAACGACTTGCCTCCAGAAGTTGTGGGTGCTACAACACTGGAGGTTTTGAAGAAGAGACTGAGCAACTATTTGTCTGAAATGGTATAGGGTCTCCTGCCTGAGCAGGGAGTAGGACTAGAAGACCTCCAAGGTCCCTTCCAGCTCTGTTAGTCTGTTAAATCATGGTTTGCAAGCAAACAGCTATATTGAGCCCCCAGACTCAAACAAACTTTTTCTAGTTCAAAATATAGAACCTGATCCCAAAGTCCAATTCACATTAATCTTGTTGCAGGTGTATTTGGACTGTTTCTGTGCCTGATCACTCTTTTTTTTATTGAAAGTTTTTTAAATTTTACAAAACAAATCCCCTCCCCAAACCCCCCCACCCTCCCATACCCTCCCCCACCTCCCCAAACCTCCCAAACCCTCCCCCAACCCTCCCAGAGCTGAGTACAGGCTTAATTAAAATTTTTCAGAAAAAGAAAAGAAAAACTTAAAACACATATAAATCCTAAACAAATCTAAATACTTTAAATTAAATAGGTTATCTTTTCTAAAAAATAATAATTGCAATCATTAAACACATTATAACATACTCTAAACATTTTCTAGTATCATACTTATATTATTATCCATCATTCTGTATAAACTCCCTCCAAAACACAAATTTAAACATTACTTTCTTTGAATATCTATACCTACAATATAAAATCTAATCTCTCCCTCTTTCTTTATCCTAGAACACAAAAATAAACATATAAACCTTCATTATACCATTAAAACTAAATACTCTTTGAATACTTAAACTAAATACTTAAACTTAAACTTCTTATCTAAGATTTTCATTCAATCTCCATAATCTTCTCTCCTATAAAAAAAAACTTAAAAGACATATAAATCCTAAACAAATCTAGGTACATTTAATTAAACAAGTTATCTTCTCTTAAAAATAATAATAATTAAAAAAACCCAATCATTAAACACATTATAATATACTCTGAACCTTTTCATATCATACTTATGTTATTATCCCTCATTCTTTATAAACTCCCTCCAAAACACAAATTTGAACATTACTTAAAACATTAGAATTCCCTTATACACATTTAAATCTTTACCAATAACAAATTCCATCCACAATAAACACATTCCTTATCAGTCTCTCTTGTCCATAAACCATTAAAATTCCCTTATACACATTTAAATCTTTACCAATAACAAATTCCATCCACAATAAACACATTCCTTATCAGTCTCTCTTGTCCATAAACCTCAAAAGAAATGCTTTGAAAACTGCCCTTAAAGCTAACTCCAAAAAGTTTGTAAATCTTGCTTCTCCCACAGACTCAGTACTCTTTTGAATACTTAAACTAAGTACTTAAACTTAAACATCTTATCTAGAATTTTCATTCGATCTCCATCCTTGTCACTCTTAAAGCCAAGTTGAAACCATAAATCGCTTTATTTATTTATAGGAAAAAGAGAGAGATGAAATGTTGGCTTTGGTGCTTGCAAGATAGCATTGAGACAAAAATCTATTACTTGGCTTTCTTTGGTAGATTAATATTTATTTTTTTAGTATTAAAATTTAATAATATTAATAAGATTGCATAAGCCATGGTCATAGTAGGCTATCATTGGGGCTGAGACTACAAGATTCTTCAGGTAAAAGTAAAGGTTTCCCCTGTGTCTATTGTTGTTCGTCCATCGATTTTCGATGAAGACCTTGACATCTTGTGGGTTATTGGCCATCAACGATGTGTCCGTAGGTGGCTAATAAGACGATGTTAGCACGGAATGTTCTGCTGAACATTCTGAACAAGGAAATATAGACACTGTTACTTCAGCATTTACAGCTCTGGCTTTGCGGAATGCTTGCTTCTCTTGTGCCAAGATTGTACTTCTGTGTTCATATGTCTGGCAACCCTGGTACACCAAGGTGCGCCATGTCGGTCGATCATGCACCAGAAGTTCCCAAGAGATGTTGTTAATATCCAGGGACTTAAGAGAGGCTTTCAATGTGTCTTTGTATCGCTTCTTTTGTCCCCAGTGCGATCGCTTTTCTTGAGACAGCTCACCATAGAAGAGCTGTTTAGGGATGTGATGATCTGACACACTTACAACATGGCCTGCCTAGCGCATCTGGGCTTTCATCAACAGAGTGTAAACTGATGATAGGCCTGCTCTGGAGAGGACATCTGTGTCTGGTATCTTATCCTGTCTAACTCTAAGGGACAATCTCATCTCCGTTTCCTAGTCAAGGGGGGGCAGTGTTGTCTGAAGATGCTTCTGTGGTCATGGCTATATGCCAGAGGCAGGTAATCTTGGCCATTTTATGACTCATGGACTTCATCTCCCAGAATTCCTGAGCCAGCCACACTGAGGGGAAAGGGAGAGGTTTCCAAGCTGAGCCACGCTGACTCAGGAATTCTGGGAGTTGAAGTCCACGAGTCATAAAAGAGCCAAGATTACCTACCCCTGCTATATGCCAAAGGCGCGCGACAAAGTGGTATCTATTTATCTACTCTCATTTGGATGCTGTCGAATACAAGGTTGGCGGGAGCGGAGGCAAGTAATGGTGCTCACTCTGTCCTCCAGTGCTCGGGTCTTGAACCCGGACTGTCTTTAGCTGCTGAGCCATTGCATCCCCCAAGATTCTTCAACACTCATACATTTCACAGATAGTTTTCTTGACATCACTGAAGTTCTAATCTTGCTAATCCTCAGATGTTTGACTTCAGTAGGGTTGACACAATGGATGCAAATTATGTATCTGAAGATTTGGCCTAACTATATGATATGTTTTTATTTTCTGTTTGGGTCTCTCTCTCTCTCTCTCTTTCTCTCTCTTTTATTTGGCAACTTCTTTTTCATTGTGCTTTTATGGTCTAATCTCATCTCTCCTGTGAACAGCTGCCTATAAATCACAGATGTAGCTGTGTTCCAGATTCCAGATTGATTGCTTTAACACCTGGGTTGTGATAGGAGCCTGCAAATTGCCAAAAGAAAAAAAAGAGGGGGAAAAAAATCTGAGGAGCGATGCTATTACCCTTCTTTTTCCTCTTCTGAGATTTTCTCTGAGAGTTTCAATCTATAGATGAGAGCAGACCAGCCTTTTCTTCAGTCAACAGACATGTTCCTCCATCTGTGAGATGAAACTTGCTTTCTGAAGAAAAATAAAAGTTTAAAAACCAAAACAAAACTCAAAATAAAGAGGAGTGGCACTTGAAAAAAAAAACACAGCTGTAAAATTGGAGGCAAATAAAATATCTAACTTTTAGCAAGGTTTGAAATAAGTTTTGGTTCAATTTAGACCTATTGATCGATTCTGTTTAATGATCCAATTTCAGTTAAGCTTCCCAATTGATTTGGAGTGAATCTCTCAATCATAAAAGCATAGGGCTGGAAGGAACCTCAGACGTCTTCTAGTCCAAGCCCGGGCTCATGGCAGGTGCCTCATACCATCCTAGTCAAGTGATTCTCCAGTCCAGTGTTTCCCAAACTTGACAATTTTAAGGCATGTGGACTTCAACTCCCAGAATTCCACAGCCAGCAACGCTGGCTGTGGAATTCTGGGAGTTGAAGTCCTCATGCCTTAAAATTGTCAAGTTTGGGAAACACTGCTCCAGTCTATTTTTGGAAACCTCCAGTGATGGAGCACCCAGACTCCCAGGAGGCAAGCTATTCCATTGATTACAGTAATTGTTCTCACTGTCAGAAAAAAATCTCCTTACTTATAGGTTGGATCTCTCTTTAACAAGCTTCCACTCATTACTGCTTGTCCTATTTTGGAGAATAAGTCAATCCCCTCTTCTGTGGGACAGCTCCTCAAGTACGGAAGACAGTTATCATGTCCCACCCGAACTTTCTCTTTGATAGGCTAGACCAGGGGTGATTAATTTTCCCAAGGAGTCACATGAGAAACTGGGATTGTTGTGGAGGACCAAACAATAGGACCAACACATAGCTGGATGAAAGATTAATTTACAGAAGACCCAAGACTTCCACGACGATGCCCTGGTGGGGAAGACATCTTTAGAGGCAGTCCACCAACTCAGTGCTAGGCTGCATTAACAGAGGGATAGAATCAAGATCACGTGAAGTATTAATAACACTTTACAATGCCTTGGTAAGGCCACACTTGGAATACTGCATCCAGTTTTGGTCACCACGATGTAAAAAAGATGCTGAGACTCTAGAAAGAGTACAGAGAAGAGCAACAAAGATGATTAGAGGACTGGAGGCTAAAACATATAAGGAACGGTTGCTGGAATTGGGTATGTCTAGTTTAATGAAGAGAAGGACAGGGGGGACATGATAGCAGTCTTCCAATATCTCAGGGGCTGCCCAAAGAAGAGGGAGTCAAGCTATTTTCCAAAGCACCTGAAGGCAGGACAAGAAGCAACGGATGGAAACTAATCAAGGAGAGAAGCAACCTAGAACTAAGGAGAAACTTCCTGACAGTTAGAACAATTAACCAGTGGATCAACCTGCCTCCAGAAGCGGTGAATGCTCCAACACAGGAAGTTTTTATGAAGAAACTGGACAGCCATTTGTCTGAAATGGTATAGGTTTCCTGCCTGAACAGGGGGTTGGACTAGATGACCTCCAAAGTCCCTTCCAACATCATCATCATCATCATCATCATCATCATTATTATTATTATTATTAACACCAAAATTGAGTCCAAAATGTCTGTTGCTAAGTGGGTAAGTGAGTTTTGCCCCATTTTACAATCTTTTTTTCTACAGCTGTTAAGTGAATTGCTGCAGTTGTTACCTTAGTAACATGACAGTTAAGTGAATCCGGCTTTCCCATCATCTTTGCTTATCAGAAGAGTGCAAAAGATGATCACATGACCCCAGGACTTTGCAACCGTCATAAATACAAGCCAGTTGCCAAGCGTGTGAATTTTGACCACAGGACCATGTGTAAGGACTTGCCTCAGCTAGGTCTCCCAAGAAAGCAGAACTCTTGAAACAGGCATTGTCTCAAAAGGAACTTTTATTGGGAGTTAGCGACATCTAGGAAGCAAAGCGAGGTCTGGGAAAAAAACCTGTACAAGCACTATATCGAAAGCAATATTCGTAACTCCTCCACCCAGGTTCCCACTGTCTATTTGAATCTCGGGCAATCCACAGGTGGTATATTGTTTTTGATGACTGGATCCTTTGGGGCACTCTTCAAGGTCTCTCTCAGTTTTGTTTTCCTCCTCCAAGCGCAAACCGTCTTCCAGATCAGGGTGATGGCATTCAGCTGTATTCCTTCCCCTGGGGGAAGGGCAGTGTGGCAAAGCAAAGCATCCCCCCTCCCAACAGGCCCCCCAAAATGGTTGTAGAAGCATGTATAGGATAGAAAGAAAAGTGATACGTTTCTTTGGGGATCTGAATGGTGCAAAGGTCACGTGAAAAAGTCGTAAGTCACTTGTATCAGTGCCGCTGTAACTTCGAACGGTTGCTGAACAAATGGTGGGTGAGGACTACCTGCTACTTCAGCTATTGCTCCAAAGCTCCTCCTCAGGTCACAGCGCAGCATTCAGTCCTTTACCTGATGTGGGTAATTTCTTCATTAGCAACTCACAGTATCATTTACAGTAATACAAGCATCATTGTGTCAGTGCTCAGAATGGAAGAGAGAGAATGGAAGAGTTATGGCATTTCAGTGACAGCTATGAAGATATCATGTTATGCCAGGGAAATATTCTACTTGTTGTGATTCCTCCTCAGACAGTGGACCCGGCAGCTGAATCTGGGGAATGAGAGGCCTGGAATGCCATCAGAGTCAGAGGAAGGCTCTGATGAGCCCCAAGACTTACAGTCTGAGGAGGATCCTGGCCCCTCTACTCGTTCTCAGGCTGAGACACAGCTGTGGTGGGAGGCTGAGTTGGACTGTGAGGACTCACAGCTGGAAGACATCATGGATGCTCGCAAACACTGACAGGCCAAGAGAGCAGGACAGAGGAATGCAATGGGGTGGCTCTAAAGGCAAAGGAGAAGGCATTAGGAAGCCACAACTTGGCTGCATAATAAAAGGGAAGGTGTGGAAGATGCTGGTTGCTGAAGGCAACCGTTTGTGAAGAAATCAAGTTTCAGTGAATTGTGTTTTGTTTGCCTTTGCCTTTGGGCATTTTATTCAGGTCTATAAAATAATACAAGGAGTTTTGTTTTCCTGCGGTTCCAGCCTGCTTGTTGGAAGAAGGGTTTCTCCTTGTGAGTTTAACAAGGACTCACCTAGGCTGGGACAGAACACTACTACTGGGGAATCAGCAGAAGCAAGAAAGGAGCATAGTGGTTCCATGTGGTTAGGATGCTCGATTGGAGGTTAGCAAGCCCACATTCGAGACCTGAATGCTGCCGTGGGGCAGGGTGAGCTCCCGTCCTTTGCTCCAGCTCCTGCCAACTGGGCATCCTCCGAGCAACAGTGATGTCCCCATTAATCCTTTCAACCCAGAACCACCTCGGTGCTTCTGATGCAAGTGTGATGTGATGCAAGGAGAAGCAATATCATGCACTATGCTGGAATTCAACCTCCGGCCTTGTCTTTTCTTGCAATACAGGTAGACCTCTTTGTTTAGTGACCATTCAAAGTTACAACAGCATTGAAAAATGTGACTTATGGCCATTTTTCACACTTATGACCAGTGTAGCATCCCCGGGGTCCATGATCAAAATTCAGACACTTGAGGGCTGCAGTGTCCTGGGGTCATGTGATGCCCTTTTGTGAAATTCTAATAAGGCAGGTAGGTTGTTGAAGCCACAGCTGGTATAATAGGTCAACAGCATCCACTTGATTACTCAGTTAGTAAGTGGGCTAAAGTTACCCTGACACAATTTGTGACACATATTTCTTTTTTCATTCTTGTACTATAGCTTATGTATTCAGGGATCACAAATATGCTGCTTGATAATCTGTTTGAAGACCTTGCCCTGAAGATATCAAGTTGAAGGGTCTGTTAGATTTCCAGGTCCTTTTCCGTTTGGAAAGATGGACTTTGCATTCACTCTTCTCCACCAGTATGGGACCTCACCAGTTCTCTAGGAGTTCTCAAAGAATTATCATGAGTGTGTCAGGAATCACCTCCACTATTTATTTCCTCCAGGACCCTGGAATTTAATTCATCTGATTCTGGACACCTGAATTCATAAAAACTAGCAAAGTTCTCTTACTTTCTCCTTGTCTGTCTTAAGCTGCAGTGCCCTATTTTCCTGAGTGGCATTTTGATGACTATTTGAGATTCCATTTTATTTCTGAGACCAAAATAAGAATCAATAAGTTCTGTGTTGTCACCATTACTAGTTCATAATTTTTTCCTTGCAGTGGATCTATACCATCTTAATTTGAACATACCCTCCAGATATTTATTTTTTTAAAATCTCTCTAAGCCTCAACTCATTCTCAGTTTCTTGAACAGAGTTCTTACTGTTTCTGGAGATTACTTTGTATTTTTCTATGATTATACTTCTCCATCTATTACATGAACTTTTTCCCTTCAACATTTTGGAGCTCTATGTATTTGCCTTCAGAGGTTTTTCCCCCCATTTTTCTTTCTTTGTGGGAATGTTTGTGATTGTTCAATCAGTATCTCGCTTTGCACAATTTCCCATGCTCTCTAGACACTTTTTTTTTTTCATTCAGGATTTCAAGTCAAGGGATCCAAATGACCTTCTTTCAGAATTCATAAAAATACACTCATCTGAAGATCACCATCCTTAGTTTTTCTCCTCTTCTGGATATCTGGGTTCCCGTAATGTGGTAACCATCACATCAGAACATCAGAATAACAGAGTTGGAAGGGAACTTGGAGGTCTTCTAGTCCAGCCCCCTGTTTGAGCAATAGACTCTGTACCATTCCAGACAAATGGCTGTCCAATCTCTTCTTAAAAGTCATCCAGTAATGACTTCCAAGGTTAAGCAGTTCCACTGATTCATTGTTTACACTGTCAGGAAATTTCTTCTTAATTCTGGATCTCTCTTTGATAATCTTCCATTTGTTACTTCTTATCTTGCTTTGGAGAACAGGTTGACCCCGTCTTCTTTGCTACTGCCCCTCAAATATTGGAAGACTTCTATCATATCATCCCTAGTCCTTCTCTTCGTTAGACTAGACCTACCCAACTCCTGCAACCGTTATTTGTGTGTTTTAGCCTCCAGTCCCCTCATCGTCTTTGTTGCTCTTCTGTGTACTCTTTCTAAAGCCTCAGTATCTATTTTGTATTGTGGTGACTGGAACTGGACGTAGTATTCC